GCTCTCTCCTCCTGCTCTCTTCTCCTTGCTCTCTCCTCCTGCTCTCTCCTCCTTGCTCTCTCCTCCTGCTCTCTCCTCCTGCTCTCTCCTCCTGCCCTCTCCTCCTGCTCTCCCCCTCCCCTCCTCCTGCTCTCCCCCTCCCCTCCTTTCTCCCCCCCTCCCCTCCTCCTGCTCTCCCCCTCCCCTCCTCCTGCTCTCCCCCTCCCCTCCTTTCTCCCCCCCTCGCCACTCTGCAGCTCGAGACCCACTCGACCATTGTCGACAAGTACCGCCAGGAGCACGCCCTGACCCCGGTGGCGGCACTTCACCACCTGGAGCCCGAGCAGGCCGCCGAGAAGCCCGTCAATGCCCTGTGGCTGGATCTGCCGGTCGACACCGACCTGCACCACTTCTACCTCAACGCCACGCACATTCGCATCAGCCGCCTGGCCGTGCTTGGCATTGTGCCCCAGTCGTCGGTGCCCCCGGCGCCGACCACCTCCGAGAGTGACATCGCCGAGATCGACTCCATGCCCGGCCTCGGGGCCGCTGCCGCCGGGGAGGGCGTCACCGAGCACAAGAAGAAGACCAAGAAGGCCGCCAAGAAGGCCGCCAAGAAGAAGCTGGCCCTCTCGGTGCAGGACGCCTCGGCCCTGGATGACAGCCAGTTCGATGATGAGGTTTACGATATCAGCAAGTGGAGCAGTGACGAGGACAACTGAGAGGGAAGGATCCCTCCCCCCCCCCCCGCCTCCCCCACCCCCACCCACCGCACCACGCGCCCCAACCCACCCACCACCCCTAAGACGCAAACACCAACAACACAAAAAATAACAACACCCCAAGAAAGGGCCCCCCCCCCCCCCCGCTTCCTCCTCACACAGACACCACATACACACACACACACACACACGCACATGCACACACGACAACCGTGCGGCATTCCAATTAAGGCAGCATGGCGCCCCGTCCGAAGCCCCCTCATCCACCACCAATAGATCAATTTGCAGACCTGCGAAGAGCGTTGGCAACTGTGCGTCCGCCCTGTCGTTGGCCATTCGGGCGGCGATTGTGGGGTCAGCGCGGCGCCCGGCGGCGGGCGAGGCCCGGCCGGGAGGGCCGGAAAGCAAGCCACCCGCCGGGGGAAGGCGCGTGTGTCGGCATGATGGCGTCTGTCTTTGACGCCGGGCCCTCCGCGCCGGCAGGGGCCCTGGGCCAGCGGGCATGCACCAACTGAAAGGGCACCCCATGTCCGGCGATCGCCAACGACGGATGAGCTATCCATCTCCCATCGGTCCTCCGCCTCCCCTCGGTTGTCCTCTTTCCCGAGCCTCGTACTTTGGTTCTTGCAACTTACTGCCCTCCTTTTGATCGCGCTCCGTCCCTCGGCAGCCCTCTGGCCCCTGGGTCCCTCCTTTCCAGGCGGTCTTTTGGCGTGAAGAACGGCTTGGGCGAAAGGCTCAGCCCATCTGCCGCCGCCGCCGCCCCCCTCGCCCGGCTCTCGCCTCCCGTCCAAGGGCCTGTGAGGGCGAGCCCGCTTTGCCCAACATGGAGGCGCGCGGTCCTCCTGCTCGTCGCCGGGCCCTCCTGCCAAGCACCTTGACAATCGCCCTGCCCCGGGCCCACGCGGCGAAGGCCCGCCAGCTGAGGCATGTCCTCCCCGGACAGGGGCCAGGCTCCCGAGGGCGAGTCCCACCCCGAGCCACCAAACGGCCAGCCAGGCCCCCACTTCGGCCCGTGGCCACGAGGCGATGCTCCGGCATGGGCACCCCCCCTGGACAGCCGAAGCCAACCACCAAACGCCAAGCCGGGCCTCAAAGGGCACGCTCGCCGATGGGCGTGTCCAGGCCCCTGGCCCAGGCGGCCTGGTGGCAGCCAGCACACACAGCCGCCGCCGGGGGTCCTGCCACGTCGGTCGCAGGACCAAAGGCCGCCGAGAGGGGCCTCCCCGCCCCGGGCCCCGGGCCGCGATGCCACCCCCCGCACCCCGGCGCGACATATAGCGCGGCGGCCTATGGCGCGGGCTTTTGCCTCGGGCTGCTGGTGATCGGGCATGTGCTCCTCCTCCTGTGCCTGGTCGTGGGTGTGGCTGCCCGGCGACGGCGACGGCGCCGGCGTGGGCACGCCACGTGCCCGGGCCGAGAGGCCGCGCTGGATCACCTGATCGAGGATATGCGCAGGTGCCCCCGAAAGGTCTATCTGTTCGATGGGCAGTAGCACGCGCGCGCCGAATGAGCAGCATGAGCCCCCGCGGACGGGCGCGCCCAGGAGAACGCACTCGCGAATGGGCCATTTTCACACTTATGTGCACCGAACCCCCGGATTCTCCGGCGCCCGCCGCGCTCGGGGGGGCACGGTTCACCCTTTAGGTCGCCGGGCTGCACGCGCGGGCTCCCCCGAGAGCGGCCTTTTCACGCTGGCACGCACCCTCCCCCCCCCCCCCCGGCCCTTGCTGTTTCTCGCAGCTCGTGCCGTTCCTTCGGCCGGCGAGAGGGCCGCCGCCGGCGGGGAACACCCGGTGGCAGGTTGACCATGGCTGTTGGGGGGGGGGGGGCGGGGGCCCTCCTGGGCCGGTGCTGGGGGCGCGCCCGAGGCGGGCCGTTGTACTCTCCCCGGCGAGGAAGGAGGGGGCATCGGAGCCCGACGCCATGGTGCAGACTTTGATTGAAAAATCGCACCGCCTCGAAGCGCACATGCGCTTCGGTGCGCAGCCCCCCCCCCCCTTCCCCCCGGGGGGGGACCGAGTAGGTGAGGATCCAAAAATGAAATGCCCCAGGGCTGGCCCCTCGCCGCTTTCCTGCAGTCGGGCGGGGAAAGAATCTCACCGGGCGTGGGCGCCGCAAAAAGTGGCGTGAGGGGTTCGGCGGGGGATCTCCAGCCGATCGGATGATGTTCCGGCGCTGTCGGGAGCGGGGGCACCAGCCGGTTGTGGCCGAGGGGGGGGGGGGCACAGCTCGGACGTTACGCGCGCGCGCGCGCCCGCATGCGCGTCTCTGCATGCACCTGGGGGTCTTTCGGAAAATGAGGCAGGGCGCGGGCGGGACAGTGTAGTTAGTGGCCGGAAGGGGGCGGCCCTGCGGCGGGGGGGCAGCCCTCCAACGGAGAAAGGGCCGGCCGGGGGGGGGGAGGGGCCGGCCGGGGCCAGGGCGGTGACGGCTGCGGCAGGAGGATGCGCGAGTGGAGCCGCCGGGCGCCGCGCGCGTGTGTGCGTGTGTGTGTGTGTGTGAGTGTGCATGCCGTGTGGCCTCCGTCCACCCAAGGGAGCGGCAGGGAATGGCATGGCGGCAGGAGAGCAGCGCGGGCGCCGCTGGCGTTGAAGCGCACGAACCCACAGATTAAGACCCGCTGCACGCGGGTCTCGGCCCGGGGCGCGGCGATGGGGGTGACATTCGCCGACGAGAGGAGCCGGCGCCGGCTGGTGTCCAGTTCCCGGCGGCGATGTGGCCGGACCCCGGGGGAACCTTGGCTTGTGGGGGCCACTCCCCCCCCCCCGGTGAAATGAGCGTGGAGGTGTTCGGCAACATGGGGTGGGAACCGCGGGGCCTTGTGGCCCTCGATTGCGACGCCAGCCTGCTCGAGGCCCCCTGCGTTCTTTCCTGCCGCACGGCAGCGTAGTCGCTCGCAACCGGGCGCAGACGCATGGCAACGCGGGGGGGGGGGGGGGCGGGCGGCCGGGCGAGGGACCCATCCTCGGGCCGGGCAGTGGTCGGAAAAAATGTGACGCCGGAACCCAGCCCTCGACCACGCCAGAGGAACCTGCACAGCCGCCCTCTCGGCGGGTCGCGCACGCCCATGCGCCCCCGGGGGCGGCCTGCTTGTCGGCCGGCATTTGCCTCCTCCCCTTGGAACAGGCGGAGGGAATCTGGCAGGGTCGATGGCCTGCCTGTCCCCGTGCCAGGCAGGGGAAGGGCGGCCGAGGGGGGTGGCCGGACTCCCGGACCAGCCCGTCCCTCGGGCCTGCCTGTCCGGGCCGCGAACTCCCCCGCGCCTCGCCCCCTCCCGCCCATACCAGGCACACATACGCGCGCGCGCGCGCACTGACAGGGAGCCCGGCCCGATGTGCATGTCCACCTGTCTGCCGGGCGAGGAAGAAGCGCCAGGCGAGGCGAGGCGAGGCGAGGCGAGGCGAGGATGCCCCCCTCTTCGGTGGAGTGCGAAGGACTACCTCAAGGGGGGCCGCCCCGCGGTCGCGGCGACCAGGTCCCTATGCATGCTTCTCCTTCTCCGCCCCCCCCCC